AATATAAAGTACCCTTTTAGATCCCAGGTTCCATTTAAGTTCACAGCATCATTGAAGATATATCATTGATTACCCACTATCAACATCAATCTATCGCTTCGAATGAGCTCGATCCCAGCCAGCAGCCACCACATCTACCCGGGCAGAAACAAATCATCTCGAAAGTATACGAAGCACCGCATGAGCTTGCGGCATGTATATTGTTTTGGGCTTGCACAAGGCACAAATCATCATTATCTACTCCATCCTCTAAACAGAACTACAACCGAAACGACTTCGAACATCACCGAAACACATTCCGTTTACAGCTCTGTTCGGGTCCGCAGGCCGACTTGTTTTTTCAGGAACAACCTCGTCAGTGGCTACCACCACAGCTCGATGACTTGGACTTGGCAACCCGGAGTGATGGTCATCGGTGTGGGGTGAGGTGAATACGGTTCGATCGAGGTGTGATGGTCATTTGATGGACCCGAGAGAGAAACCGGTGTGTTCACCACAATAGGTGAATAGTTAAACATAGTTGAACAGCAAAACAAGCTTTTAAAAGAACACCACCTGTTTTGATTGCATGCGAGAGCGGAGTTGGTTTAAGATTGGTCGCCCCAATGGATTCGATTAGAGCCCAGCTACTTTGAATGGGAGTGACCTCGACAGTTGCCCACGGCCCAGTTTTCCCCTCGAACCTCAGATTTGGATTCAATTAGATCACAAGACTCGTCAATGATATGGAGATGAGATATCACTTCCCACGGCGCAGAAGTTGGTCCCATTAGTGGGGAAACTGGTTTCCGGCATTTTCCGGCATTGGAGGACGGCGTTCTTCTTTGTTTGTTGGTCCAATTGATGGGGTAATGCAATGCAATGGTGCCTTTGTTTCCATGGTGATATTCCACTGTCGTGTACTGGATGTCTAGCTGATGAGATGACGATAGGGCAAGAGGAAGATGTAGCTGTGTCAATTGATGTGTTATGAGTAGAGTAGTGCAGTAGAGCACACCTTTATTTGTTGCAGAATGGTGATTTGTGACAGTTAGAGACTAAGTATCAATCAAATAAGATGTGTGAACAGTCGAAACATTACATTGCTATTCTCAGAGAACTGGCTCTCAACTAGATCACTGCCCAGTTTTGGTTTGTTTGAGAGAGCAAATCCGCAGGCCGGTTATCCGATTGGTAATTTTTTCTTGATCGTTTTGGAAGCGGCTTGGAAGAGGTTGCACAGATAGGCCCCCCAAGGCTAACTGAGAGAGCAGCCATGTTGGCTTGCGAAGTGGATCGATGGCGAAGGGGCCCCAATGGCCAAGGCACCGTCTTCGAGTGGGGGAACCCCCGAAAAGACGGCCTTGTGAGCTTGACCAAGTGGTTCAAGATCTCCATGTCTAGTACGCACACGCATTAATTATGGTTCAGACTAGAAGGTGATGCAAAAAGCGCCAGCATAGTCGGCCAGTGGCCTTCGCACCAACACCTCTGGAGCTTTTTCGCTCTGTGACTAAGGGCCCTCCCACAACGACTGAGTGAGTGCTTCCTGCAGTTGAGATGTGCGGGAACAAGTGCCTTGGTCACCCACGGAGTTTTGATGATGACAAGTTGATGACAAGATGACTGGGTAAACCTATATGAACATAGACGAGGCTTCCGAGTAGTCTCAGAGCTTCTTGCAGTAGGGTCGCAGCGACTATGTGCCACTATGTGCCACAGCGGAGCCTGCCATTTGCATATTATAAGCGCCAGATACATGGCACAGATAACAAGTTCAAGCCTTGAAATGTAGGGTCCCTTCAAGGTTCTAACTCATAGGTTTGCATGTTCTGAGTCATGTTCTCATAGAACACCAGGGCACAACTTTTTGGGCTATATAATAAGTGCTTTATGATTCCCAGACCTGGCAAGACCTTGCAAATGATTTTATGAAGTAACATTGAGACATTGTGGGGGGCCCTTTGAAAGTCCTCCAAATCCTTGGGGCCCTGGCACAGCCTAGCTCGCCAAACTGCCCTTTGAGCATGGGAGCCATGTTGCAGGCGGGCCGAACGAAGGATGCGGGCGCGTGGTTCACGACGCAGCTCTCGAGCAGGGCTGTCATGGAGGACCAGGAAAGCCATAGGTACCTCCACCCCCACAGGTCATTCAAAAGCAAGTTCTTCTTTTTTGGCTTTTGTGGATTCCAACGTTGTTCCATGGGGTCAGTGGAACGTTCCGTTAATATCACCGCTTTAGAGTAGAAATTGAGGAGGATGTACCGTTTTTTTAAATATGTTTTGTAAATGTCAAATAACATATCACGTGAATGGTGATGTTATTTCTTAGGTCGTCGTTGATGTCCATTCATTTCAGGAACTTGGCACCTTTCACTTGCGCTTGGGGGGGCCGATCCCTCCACATGCCATGGCGGGCAAGGTGAGCAAAGGTCGTTCGGTGCCAGAACTCAAATGGCACCAGGAAATAGACATGTGCACTGACCCCTCCAAAGGGGTCCACTAGCAGATGGTGACCCCTAGGTTTTTCATTTGAGGTAGCGGGGATGTTCCGTTGGCCTTTGGAGAACCCCCCAGCTGCGACCTGCGCTCACGGACCTTCGGCAAAAGCGGTGACGGATCTTGAAAGGGGTTCCGACACTTGAGTTCCAAGATCGAGCAGATCCAGCCTATCATCCAGCCTATCATCGTATGATGATGCTTGAGGTTTTGATCCAGACAGTTGATGGGTTAGACATTGATGGTAGGACAGTTATGTTCTATGTATGTGGCACTTCCACTTGGTATGCTAGGTATGGTCCCTCATGATCCAACGGTTATGGTTTGCATTGGTGAATTCATTCACACACCAACAGTGCTGAGCAAATGGTTGGGACGAGGGAACCAAACTGCCCATGTTAAGGGAAAGCCACTGGGCGACTGAGGTTTGTGCACGCACCTGAAAGGAGCTTTCAGATGGAAGTCCCTTTTTGTATGTGGTTCATTTGGTCCAAGAATCTTGATTTTTTGATGTTTTCAAGCCCACTTCGAAGACGTTGCCATTCTTTCTCCAAGCATAGATGTTCAGGCTCAGACCCCCTGAGCTACTCATAAAGGAGAGGAAACCCTTTGATCGCACGCCTCTAATTTGACACAGTTACTCTCCAGGAGGGAGAGCAGTCAGCCTGGCTTGCATTATTCGTGAAGAACAGGAAAGGGTGTCTCCTGAAAGAACCCATCAGGTCTAAAGGATATCTCTGACCACACGTGATTTTGACCATGGGATCGCAAGGGCACACATCCATGGACTCCATGGCTATCGCAGTCCTTTGCCAAAGGACATGTTGCTGAGATTCCATTAGGCCGTGGGTGAAAACACCTGGACGCCCGTGACCGCTGGTGTTTGAACACCCGTGACCGGGCACACCCCATCCATGGACCGCCGGCGGAGAAATCTCCGCCTCCCATGGCCGTGATCCTCATTTGCCAAATATCGATGCTTCAACCGATGACCGGAGTCTTCGGGAAGGTCTGTTGTTTTTTTGAGCACCAAAAATGGGAGTTGAGAATGGTAGAGGTCTGCTGCGGAGGGCCAAGCTTCACAGGGTGTTAATTGAGATTTTTGTGTAGGCATAGCAGCAAACAAATTTGAGGATCAAGAAGGCTGTCGGGCTTCTTCCATCACAGGCCCAATGCGGCCTGAGTCTTTCGCGGTTGCAGATTCGAGACTCTTTGACTCCGTTTAGCTTTTGGGAGAGACATTCACGGAGCGATCACGTACGCAGGGTTCGTACGTCGAAGACAGCTTTGGACCGATCCATGAGTCTGACATATTCTGAATCCTTTGTAGTTATGGTTCGTCCTGAATCCCAAACCAGGGCGCAACTGGCAGGTCTGATGTCCGTTCTGCCAGGAAGAAGACGGCAAACCGGCAAACCGGGTCCCACTTTGCCTTTGGTCAAGGTATGGCAAAACCAATTCAAAGCATCAGCAACAAGAACAGGAGTGTTCTGACCCACTGCGATATTGAAGGACACTTCAAGCCAAAAGGAGCAAAGCTTTGGGTTCTTGATAGGTTAACCCACTACTGGAGAGAACATCATCAACATGCAGGAATGTCCAAATAAGTCTTTGTAGCAGAGCACAATAAGACAACACAATTGGGATTGTGTATAGTTTCTATTTTCTGTTCTGGAGAACATTCTACTTTTTGCACTACTTATCCAGGTCGTATGTGTTTCTCGCCTCATTGCTGTCCATGTATTGGGCATTGACAACTTCCTCCATGAGAATGGAACGCCTTAAGAGAGAAACACTTGGCAAACCACCCAGACATCTGAAGCCACAGTGGAATGAAGCTTTCAGCATCTTCACCTCATCCACTCTGTTCTTCGGTCCTCCGTCTTTCACTCGGTTTCGACGCGGGAGTCACGCGTCGCGTGCCCCCGGCGAGAGTGGATCTTCCGAAGAGGGGCGAGAGGACTGTCCGTGTGGAAAAGACGGGATCAGTGGTCTTCGGAGGTTTTTTTGGGGTGTTGGATGTGTTGAAAAGGGATCGACGTGTCTCCAAAATCCGGTCCAATCCGAGTCAAAGGACAAAAGGTTCAATCCTTTCTTGGGTTAGTGCAATTGATTCCGCAGGTGCTTGAGAGATCGCACTTTGTGGTCGTAGTTACTGTAGGGGCTCCTTTCGGTTTGCTGATTTGGACCTACACCTCTGTGTGGGGCCGAAGCTTTTCCAACGCGTACGACCCACACGCAACAACTGGGTTCATGAGATTTCACGTATTTCAGATCTAGATCCTGGGTCAGTCGGATGGCGCCCCACTGCGACACTGGGTCAGTCCTCACAGGATTTGATCTAACACTCGCGTTCGGGGCGGTCGAGTTATTGCCCAAAGTGGTTTGGGCTTGCCCCCGTCTTTCCCACCAAATCATGGGGAAAGTGCTTAGTTTTCTTGAGCCTCCACCCCAACATTGTGATCAGACCACTGCGACCTCCAAGAGACCAGCGTTCAACAACATGAGTTGTTGCTGACTGAGGCTGACTTTGATGGATTCTCCTACAAGACGGCTTTCTTCTTCCCAGGCGAACGATGCCAGACATCTACGTTGGAAGCGGGCTGGGACAGCTCGGTGCCGTCGCCATGGGACATTCCGACTCTGACCAGTCGCCATGACCGGTCGTGGCGGTGACGTACATATGTTACGTAAGTCGTGTTTGGAGCAGCTTTAGACATAGCTAGCAAATCCCGATTGAAATTCCCGCTAGGATCTAGGTGTCCCGATGGAGATATTTTAACGATCTAGGTGTCCCGAAGCTGGGGGGCGCCGCTTTATACCCTAGACCTTCTAACAACCAAACTTTTCTGCTCGGTTTGATTTGCGCTCGTTTTGGAAAAGAGCGCTCGCTTTGCAAAAAAACGCTCGATCAAGATTTGAGCGCTAGGTTTTGTGGGGAAGGACCAGGTGATGGTGTACAAACACGTGCACACACACTTTATCTCGCACTTCTTGGTGTTCATCGCATGGCCGGGTTTCCCAGCTTGCTTCGATCAAGGTGTCTTTTCCACTGACTTTTGTAGTGGATTAGACTCTTCCGTATGGTGGAGAAAGCTGCAAGTAAACTATGCACCTTTCGGTGCACTCTTGAAACCTTGCCGATGAAGTCCTCGTCACTCCAGCATGCTGTGCCTAGGTTTGCACAGTTCCAACTTTTGCACCAAGAAACCATGAAGTATGTAAGGGATACACATATGTGCACGTATGCACACATGCATTCAGGTCACATGCTGGCGACAAGACCCACTCCGCACCCGCATCGATTTGATACTGCATGCGCAGCCTTAGCAAGCACGGGTTTTCTTAAGCAGTGCTAGTGTATATAGGTGCGTACTTTAACAAGCCAGGTACCACAATAGCGCTGTGTAATTAACACTGCAAGTTCTAATGCCTGCAGACAAAGGAACAGAATATGCTGGTGCATATGTATTTTAGGGCGAAGGTAGAACAAAGACCAGTTGTTCGCAGCAGAGATGCTTGCAGCAGCACCGTAGGCTTCCTTGCCAACCGGGCTCTTAAGTTGTTAAATGCATGTGTTCACATGGTATACGTTCTAAGTTTCTGTCATGCTCCATCCATGTTGGATGGTGTGCGTGTTTTCCTGCGTTCAAGTTTCTGTCATGTTCCATCCATGTTGGATGGTCTCCTGCGCCTCTGTGCGATGAAGCCAGACCCTCCCATTGTACACGGCCCTGTTGAACTTACAGGTGGAGTAGTTTCCCCATTTGGTCACTTTGAACAAATCCCGGCACGCGTCCTCAGCCAATAAGCAAGCTAGCTTTCTTGACAAACACTGGCGCACAATCACAATGTCCCACTCGTATGACAAGGCATTGGATGTGCTGTCAAGGCACTGGGACATCATCCGGGGTCATCTTGCTAAAAACGATCTCGAGCCAGGCGCCCACCACAGCGCAATCCGATCCTTTACCAAGGCCTCGTGGAAAGTCGCGGAGCCTGAGTCGAGCTATGTCAAGCTAAAAAAAACATGTGACCGTCCACAACCTTATGCAATGGACAGCACTACATCAATCCAGCATCCTTAGCCAGGCCACGATGTAATCTTGAGTTCAGAAAAGGTAAATTCCGTGATAGTCGTTGTCTTCTTGTTCTCGCGACACCATTCTTTGTAGTCCCCGAAAGCATTGTCCAGGTTCTGGTGGACATTGCCTTGTCCAAAGGCTTTGCAGTGACAAGCAAGAAAGACCAACATGGATGCAACCTCGTCCTTGCCCCAACCAGCTATGGCATACGTGTGTGCCAGGTCTATCTGGATGGCAGCGGCCTCACGTGAATGCAACAAATCTCTGAGACTGGCTCTAGGACCCCTGTGGAAAGGGTCTGGTGACACCCCATTGAAAGGCCAGGTTCGGGTTGAACCCGAAGACGTCAAGTCGAACCAGTCCTGAGATCTAGCGTTTCACAAAGCCACAGCAAGAAGCATTCCAACGATGGTATGAATCCAAGAAAACAAGAGCAGCAAAAACCTTTCCAAAACAGGGCTGAAAGTCATTGGATAGACAAATGTGACAGATCCTATTCGATGTGAACCCAGTTCTGAGTTTGTAAACGCTCCTCAAGAAGGGCCAATCTCCCTTGCAGCCGACAAACATTGGAAAGAACGTCTTGCCCTGGACCTTACAGGGGAAATCAAACATGGGCATTGGAGACTATGCACGAAAGGACCACCAAGAATGCACACTGAACCCACAAGGAAACATAGGGCCTCAATGCCCTCAGTCATTGCAAGGTTCATGTCGTCGACAAGGGCCCGCATCAAGGTTTGTAGGCTTGCCCCATCAGGTGCGGACCTTTCGGAAGTCAGTACGGTGAAGAGCAACCGTGTTGTGAAGGTGTTCCTCGGCAACAATTGGTTCCTTCTCGAAAAGCACATCTATAGGTTCACAAAGACTTTCTACAATGCAGCCCTCAATGGCAAGTTGTGTTTCACCTTTCCAGCAAATGTCAGCAAACTATCGGCAGCTAAGGTTCTGATGGGAGTTCACAATGTTCGGTCCAGCTGATCCAAGAAGTGGTTGGTATGACACTACCAAGAGTGGACGCTGTACTTGGCCACGTCCCTCATCCCCATGCAACATAATGGGAATGGTCCGACGGGGAAATGCCGGCGTACAGTAAGGGTCGCAATAGGAATACCTTTGCCAGAAGGTTTCCAACATGTTCTCCGCCAAGTCCAATTGAGCAAGGGTGAGCCCACCCAAAAAAAAGAAACCGTTCCATGGTTCATCAAAAGCCGCACGCATCCAATCTCGTAGATAGATGACTGGCCAAGGTCTGGTCTCAACTTTCTTTGTTCGGGAGTAAGCCTTGGCCTTGACTGGGGTTAGCACAGACGAGATGTTCACCTCAAGCGTCTTCTTGTTCTGGTGGATATAGCGGTGAAGGTTGCGGCTCGAGTTGGCAGTACCCTTGTCAAGGTTCCCGCGCTTTGCAAGCTCTGAAATTCTAGAATCATGAGCTCCTTGGTTCCATGGTGTTGTTCTCACTTGGATTTAGCGGTAGTACAGCAGGCTGGGCTTTAAGCATGGGAGGCAAACTTGAGACCTGTTGTCCAAAATGCCGACAAGCATCCATGTCGTTTCAATAGCTTCTCTGTCAGCTTCGCTTGAATGACAACATCGCGAGCGGTAGCCTTAGATTTTCACTAGCTACATGCATGCGCAATATGGCAAACAACAGCCAGCCACCACAAGCCACGTAACACCTTTGGAAAAGCTTTCCACCATAGCATTGGGCAGTTCATCATCGGAGCTAGTACTTTCTGAAGATGGACCTCATAGTGTGTATCCACGCCGATCGATCGAAGCAATGATTTGCCATATCGCAGTATGCTTAGTAGATCTTAGTAGCAAACCAGTGTCGCGTCGATGAGTTTGTCGATGACCTGGCATAGCTGCCCATAAGGCACAAGAACACGGCTGGTAAAGCAATAGTGTCCTGATTTGCTCATGCACGTACGTAAAACATAACCATCAGTAGAACCATCGTACTTCTCCTTTTCGTGTTGACTCCCGCAATCCTGTGAATTTAGTTCCGGGCCATTGCGGAATCTCGCACATCATACACAATAGGTAGCCAGTAGGTTGTGAGTGTGACAAGCCGAAACACGATGCATCCCCAACTTTGTGGCATCGTACCCATGGCCTACACACAGCTGGCCACAAAGAAGCAAAACTATAGAATCACTTATTCCCCTTTGGGGATGCTTTGGCCTTTGGCGACTTCTTCGCCTTTGGTTTCGCTTTCGCTTTCGGTTTTCCGGAACCAGATCCAGATCCGGAGGGTGCTTCTGAGGTGGCCTTCATCCCCCTTAGTGTCATTTGTATGAGCCATTTACCACACGATGTCTCTAGGATTCTCTAGGCTTTCAAGGTACTGTTACACCAATGTTTCTGGTGTCAGACTAGATACTTCCCCCGCACGAGCATGGCATTGACTGCGACATCGATCTTTGTGCATGACACGAATTGCTTTTGGATTTCATCTCGCTTTGTCCTAAGGGTGCACCGATCCATGCACGCTCACGATAAAATAAACATGCATACAAGGGTTTGGACGCACAGAAAAAAAACAAAGGACCCAGCCACAACCGCCCCCAACTCCTGTCAAGGGTTTCAGGCGCAACTGTTGCTTCTGAAAGCGTTGTGGTCAACCCATCGTACAAGCTCCGCATCTTCTCAAGTTGCCCCTCCAACAATGCACTCAACCTCAGCGTGTTACGAGCACAGCACGTGAACTCTCGTGGAACTATAGTGCAGGTCTAAAAGCACACATGCCACCCCACACGCATACTGCAGAATGCATGCATCCAAGAAACGTTTTCGCGGCAGCAACCCCCAACTTCTGCAACCGCTCCTGCAGACATTGTGAAACAGCATGCATGCGCAGTACGATGTGGTTGCTAGATTTTGTTTGCATGTTGGGACCGGTTTCAAGGTCTTTTTGGAGGTTGCAATCCAGTCCTTCTCGGAATCAATCCGATCAATCTTCCGGCCAAGTACTTCCACAAACTGAGGAAGAATGGATAATGGTGACTGTGTGCTCGAAACCGTCGGAAATGTAAGCCTTATATGCATTCAAGAAAAGTTGGTTCCGCCCCACAGTCTTTTAACCTTTGGTGCACACACTTCATAAACCTCGAGTATATATGGCATGAAGGATAAGATGCGGAGAAGGTACTTGAAGCTCATCACAGAAGCAGTGTTTCCAAGCAAATTGCCTCCAGACCCTTGCGTTCCTGAGGTGGCGGAAGTACCATTCATGCCGGTCAACAAGGACTCAGCTGGGGCATTGATGCTAGGGATGTCAGAGTCGAGAAGGGAACCAGCATCGTCCTGCAAAAAAAACACACCCACAACATGGTCGCCTACATGAAGACTATAAACATAGCAGTCCTGGGCAGCAAAAGAACCTTGTTGTTCAGATTCTTCGATATCCTTTGACTCGATCTTAAACTCTTCACTGGTGACAATGTAAATTTCTTCATCACCATGGATAGGATTCACC